CGTTGCTTAGATACTGATTCCCACCAAGAATGCATCGGATCTCGATCGGAGGAGATTCCTGAGACGGCGACAGCAGTAGCGGTGGGTGTACCGGCGGATTTGAAACGGTGAGGAGTGGAGGAAGAGGTGGAAGACGACGGAGAAGGTGAGCCACCGGGAGGTTTGACGGAGAAGTCCATGGGAATGGGTCTGAGTGAGACAGAGGAGAAGTTTTCGCTGGATTTTAGGAACACCGAAAATGTAGGATTGAAAGTGATTTATTTTCTTTTCTTTGAGGATGAGGACTGGTCTTACAATTTATTTCTTAAGGGGCAATTCAGAAAGATAATGAAACTTATGGGGTGTTTTTAATGAGTTTCTTCAGCGAGCCACAAAAGGTGAAAAAAGGGAGTAACAACTATAGGGCCAGGCTTTGTGGGCTTCAGGTTTTCGGCCCAAGCACGATTATATGATAAAGTTATCATTAATTTCGAATTTTAACGTCTTTTGAACAAAAAAGTTCTACAAACGGTTGATTCAAATTTGATGATTAGACGAAATTTTTTTCTTTTGAGTTTGTATCAATGACACGCTTTAATAGCTTACCTCTTTTAACAATTAACTTTTAACCCTTTAAGATAAGTATCGTTGAGATTGTTTTTGTTTTTATGAAAAAAGTAAAAAATTCATGATTTTTCTTACCGTTGATATTCCTCAAAGTCGGTAGCTTTTTATACGATCTTGCATTTGTTCCGATTCTGTGATCTTTACACGTCGACCAAATCACCAACCAGAATCTTTTTTTGTTTATTTTCGGAAATAAGATTTGATGCTTTTAACACACAATGGAAAATCATCCTACATACAAATATAAATGCATGTGAAGGAACCAAAGAGCGAAGGAGAGTATAAAGAGTAAGTTATATATACATATGCCATTTATTATTGTCTACCTTCCAAATTAATTTTCCAATGAAAAACAAGAAGTAAATTTCTTTTTTTCTTCTTCTATGTAGGTCAATCATGAAAGCTAAATATAGTATTTCTCTATTTAAGTTGAAACCGGTTTACAATAGGTACATTTTGCATCAACATGAATGCAATATTAAAAAACAGTTTGAAAACAAAACCATTTCCTTTAAACAAGGTTTGTTTGTTATTTTCAAAGAAGTACGAACAAGATTAATTTATGATGATGGGTTAATAGCTTCTTCAAAGTCTCAATTTTTTTTAATTGATCTTTATTGCAAATTTTAATTTATAGTCGACTTAAGATCTTTATTTCTCTTTTTATCAAAAAAAAAAAAGATCTTTATTTCTCAAAATAGATCCCGCAAATTTTGGGTTTAAATTCAAAGGAAGAGTATAATGAACAAAAATATTACATTTATATTATTACATTTTCCATGTAGGTATGAAAGCTAATAAATTTTCGAATTATATTTTAGAAGTGACAATAACAAAGAGAGGAAAGACGAAAGGGCAAGTCTCTCTTGGTAAAAGACCCCACACGATCACGCATCCACATTACACGTATACCAAAACGTCATCGTTTTTACGCATTACCCAAAGCAACCGACCTACAAAACTTTTCTCGTTCTTCTTCTTCTTTATATTCCACTCCCATCAAAACCCTTCTCTCTCGCATCTCTCACATCTCTCACCTTAAGAGCAATAGAG